TGAATGACTATATAGTGCACTGTAGTTTAACTGACAGGTTCTCTAACATTGTATATGGGTGATTTGATTTTCTTATATATAAATAATGCTATGATGAACATCTTTGCAGAAAGTATTTGCATATATCTATAATTTTTTCCTCCAGATAAATTTCCAGAGATTATTTCAAGATCAGAGAAGCTCTGATTCATGGGGCCTCCCTGGTGCCTGGGGGATTAAAATCTCAGTGCTATTAAGCTATCACCAGCCACTGCAGCACAAGTTCCATCTCCAACCAGGGAGCTAACCTGCATGGGCACAGCAGACCTAGCCTGTCTCACCTGCTGCTCTCCTTAGCAGTGTATTTCAGTAGAACCACCTGTTCTGCACCCCACTGTCTGGTGAATCCTCTCACCCCAATCCCTCACCTCTGACCTAGACCCCAGTTCTTGTATGCATAAATAAATAAAATAAATCTTTTTGTTTAAAGCTTTGATTCCTAAAACCAAAGTGTCTTCAAAAATGGAAGTATATAAAAGTCTTCCATTTACCCAGGTCTTCACCAAAACTAAATGCTATCAGGTTTTTAATAGTCTCTATTTCATGTTTGAAAAAAACTTTCTTTTAGTTTTTGTTACTTTGGTTACTTGAAATTTTTAATATTTTTGTATGTTTGTTTTTTATATTCTTTGGCTTGCATTTTCTATAGATATCCATATTTTCTATTGATATATTTTTCTTAACTTACAAAAGTTCTTTATATAGTGAGCATAGAAATAAATACTATGCCATATATTTTACAAGTATTTTTCCAAACTAATATATATTTTTAAAATTATTTATTTATTTATGTGAACTCGTGCTGCAGTGGCTGCCAATAGCTTCTTAGAGCTGAGACTTAACCGTTTGCACCACCAGGGAGGCCCCCTAATGTTATACTTTATTAACTTTTTCATCTTCAAATTATCAATAAATATTTTCATTAAAATTTCTACTGTTGCTTATAAATTTATTTTTTAATTTTTTAAAGATTTATTTATTTATTTATGCATACAAGAATGGGGTACAGGCCAGAGGTGGGGGGAGGGTGAGATGATTCACCGGAGACAGAGTGGGGAGTAGAACAGGCAGATGCACTGAAATACACTGCTGAGGGGAGCAGTGGGCAAGGCAGGGGAGATCTGCTGCACTATGTGGGTCACCTCCCTGACCGGCCTGGGAATCAAACTCATGTAGCAGTGACTGGCAATAGCTTGATAACGGCTGTCTTTAACCCCTGTGCCACCAGGGAGGCCCTGTTACTTATAAATTTAGAATGTATTCCTTACAAAGATTAAATCCTCACTTATGTTTTCTCCTATATTGTTTTGTTTTTTGTTTTCATTTCATGCATTTAATGCTTTAACCACTTTGCAGTTTATTATCATCATGTGAGATGATAAACACCCCCCCCATGACTGTTCTATTAAAAAGAATTCAATTAACATTTTTTCCAACTGGTAAGCAAAAGTGTCCCTGAATATTTATTGAATAAATATACTTTTTTCCTACTGATTTCAAAAGACTTTAAAATCAAGTTGGAAGCTTTTATATTCTAGGGTTCACTCCTAAAATTAATTTCTGTTCCACTAATTTCTCTATTCTTTCACCTTTATTATAATATTTTAATTGTACATTCTTACATCTGGTATTGTGTGTCTTTAGAAGATTTTTCAAAGTTTTCTTTGTCAGTCTGACATGTTTATTTTTTATATATGCATTTATTTTTCATATAATTCTGAGAATATTGTTTAGCTTTATTAAGTTAAAAATTCATTGGAGAACATATGTTTTACTATGGAAAAATGCCCAAGATATATTAAATGAAAAAAGCAACTTGTAGAACAGTATGTATGATATCCCTCCTATAATTAAAAAAAAGTCAGGAAAAAACACAGAAGTGTGTATGTATGCCCATTTATATGTTAATATATACTTTATAGATAATACAAAATTTCTAGAAGATTAAACAAAAAAATTGTTTAGAATTATTACCTTGGTGAGTGGAAATAGATATTGTAGGGAAGAGGAACTTTTGCTTTCTACTAAAATATAGTGTTTTAGGCAGTTTGGATTTTAAATTCACTGAAATTCTCAACAGAATTATATTAAAGTTATAAATGAATTGGGGCATTATTATAATATTGTCATTTTCCCATGTAAGAATACTTATTTTAAATTTAATCTTCAGGGCCTCGCTGGTGGCGCAAGGGGTTAAGCACCACACTATGAAGCAATCTGCAGCCTCTACAGCACAAGTTCGATCCCCGGCTGGCCAGGGAGAAACCCATATGGCACAGCAGACCTCTCCTGTCTCGCCCACTGCTCCCCTCAGCAGTGTACTTCAGTCTATCTGGCTGTGCTGTTCCCCACTCTGTCTCTGGTGAGTCCTCTCACCCCCTGCATCTCTGGCCTGTACCCCGGCTCTTGTATGCATAAATGAATGAATCTTTAAAAAAAAATTTAACTTTCTCAAAAAAATTAATCTGCATTTTTTTTTTTAGGATTTATTTATTTATGCAAGCAAGAATTGGGGTCTAGGTCAGAGGTAGGGGAGGGGTACGTGAAAGGATTCACCAGAGATGGGGCAGGGAGCAGAACAGGTGGGTCTACTGAAATACACTGCTGAGGGGAGCAGCGGCTGAGACAGGAGAGATCTGCCACTCCATGTGGGTCAGTTCTCTGGCTGGGGATGGAACCTTATGCTGCAGTGGCTGCTGACAGCTTCATAGTGCTGAGACTTAACCCTTTGTGCCACCAGGGATGCCCTCCTCAATAAAGTTTTATGATTTTCTTCATACTGGGCCCTACACAAGATCTGTAGTTTCTGTATTTCTAGATTTTATATATTTGTAAATATATGTAAAGTATACTTTATATTTATGGATTGATATACAGAGATAAAAATATTATAAATAAATATTGCATAACTGCTATTGTTTATAAAACTAATGGTCTCATTGGAAGCTATTTTCTAGTTGTTTTTCCTTTAAATAATTGAAACTTGATTTTTTTATTTCATGAATTTATCTTTATTTTTTTTTTTTTTTTAATTTTTTTTTTATTTTTAAATTTATTATTTATTTATACATGCACTGGGTACAGTCAGAAGCGCAGAAAGGTGAGAGAATTCACTAGAGCCAGAGCGGGGAGCAGAACAGGCAGAAGGACCGAAGTACACTGCCGAGGGGAGCAGCGGGCGGCAGGAGAGGTCTGCACGCCATGTGGGACCCTCCTCCCGTGGCCGGGGAGCAGCCGGGGATCGAACCAGCACTGTAGAGGCTGCGGGCAGCTTCACAACCAGCGTTCAACCACTGCGCCACGGGGGAGGCCCCATGAATTTATCTTTAAAAATAATCTTAAAATAGGGCCTCCCCGGTGGCGCAGCGGTTGAGCGCTGGGTTGCGAAGCTGCCTGCAGCCTCTGCAGCCGGTTCGATCCCCGGCTGCTCCCGGCCACCGGAGGAGGGTCCCACATGGCGCGCAGACCTCTCCTGCCGCCCGCTGCTCCCTCAGCAGTGTACTTCGGTCCTTCTGCCTGCTCTGCTCCCCGCTCTGGCTCTGGTGAATTCTCTCACCCTCCTGCGCTTCTGACTGTACCCAGTGCATGTATAAACCAAACAAACAAACAAATAATAATAAAATAAATAAGACATGCCTCTAGAAAATTAAAAAAAAAAAAAAAAAATCTTAAAATAATTGGTCAGTTCAAGTTTAGGCTAAAATTATTGGCTTATGTAGAAATACTTTAATTTTACTCAATGTAAAATTTGTATTTATTATATGTATTATTTTTTGAATCATGTAAACATGGCTTAAGAAAATAGCAATTATGAGGCATATTCTAAAATATGCTGCAGAATATAAAACCTGTCATTTTCTGAAAAGAAATGCAAAGGAATAATGAACAAAAATAATTATTAGTATAGATAGGATTTCCATGAATAATTTATGAGAACCTAGACAAGGAAGAAACAATAGATATGACCTATTTTGAGTCCCGTAGAGTTTTTTTTCCATATTTGTAGTGGAAGATACTGCTATTTTTAAATTTTTTCTTTTGGAAAGTAAAGTGTTTTAATGCTATTATTCCTGAATATAAATATGTAATATTCCTATTGTAAAAGACATTCACATATAGAAAAAAGTACTTTCTTATGTGAAGGACAGCTATAATCCTAAATTTCAGAAAAACTATTAATAAACTATTTTGCCTGTTCTTTAAGAGTTAATTCTATTCACATATATTTCATGTATTTATAAAATGAGACCATACTACACATGAGGGTTGTAGCCTTCCTTTTTTATTTTCGTATATAATCATTGCTGTTTCTTAATGTCCATAAATACAGATCTTCGTAATTCTTTTTTTTTTTAAGATTTATTTATTTATACAAGCACTGGGTACAGTCAGACGCGCGGGAGGGTGAGAGAACTCACCAGAGCCAGGCAGGGAGCAGAACAGGCAGAAGGACCGAAGTACACTGCTGAGGGGAGCAGTGGGCATGGCAGGTTACAAGTACTTAATGCTTGGTGTCATTCTTTGAAAGATATTCTCTAGGACAAGATTAATAAGAAAATATCCTTTGTCATACCTAACTATATGTGTTCATATTTTACCCTTATATTTTAAACATATTTAGACATTTTTAAAGACATAAGTTAGAGACTTGATTTTTTTTCCAAATGATTAGTTAATATTCTTCCACCATTTTGAACAATTCATATTATCTCCACTAAACTCTTAGATATATTGTAATCTAGATCCAGATTTTATCTTCTGTTTCATTTAGCTGTATTAATGTGATCTGTACTTGTGAGAATATTAAGTTTTGCTGCAATAGCGCAGTGTAACAAATACTCTCAAATCTCAATGGCTTACACCAACATTTATTCCTCTATCATAGGAATTGTTTCATCAACTCTGACACCGCAGTGCTCTGTGGGACACAAATGGACTTTGCTCCAAAATCCAGGTGAGGTTTATGATGTTCCATGGGCCTCTTTATTTCAGGACTGGAAAACAGTAGCTCCCTAGAACAACACACAGGTCATGTTGAACAGCAGGAGTTCGAGAGGGCTGGTGGAAATCTGACTTCTTAAATCTCAGCTAAACACATTCTGTTTTCCAATCATAATCCATTAGTCTGAGAAAATCAAATGGCCAAGCCCTAAGTGAACAGTGAAGGAAAATATAGTACCTTTACAAGGAAAGTGTATATAAAAGACTTGAAGACAAGGGAAACTTTTAATACTATCTGCACTGAGCTAATTATACTTTTCAAGTCTCGGGTTTCTCACTGTCAAATATGATTATAATAAAAATTCAGTGATACAGATAAGAAATATCAAATACATTGTGCCTGGCATCTAATAATTATATATATTATATATATATATATATGCTTTCTCATAATATACTAGTATACTATAATTTTGCAAGATAACTGTAATATGTGGAAAGGCAGTTAGCTGGGAATTTTTTTATGCATACAAGAACTGGGACACAGGCCAGAGTTGTAGGTGGTGAGAAGATTCATCAGAGACAATACGGGGAGCGGAACAGGTAGATCTCCTGAAAATACACTGCTGAGGGGAGCAGTGGACGAGACTGGAGAGGTCTGCTGCACCATGTGGGTTAGCTCCCTGGCTGGGAATCGAACTCATGCTGCAGTGGCTTGTGATACCTTGATAGAACTGAGACATTAACTTCTGTACCACCAAGGAGGTCCAGTTAGCTGGGACTTTTACAGGATTCTTCTAACTACTTGTTAGCTTTTTATCACAGGTGAATGATTACACTTTTGACTTTGTCGCATATATTCATCTCATTAATAATTGCTGAAAATATTTTCTCAGTCATACTACTTTTAGAATATTGAGCAAGTTTTTCAAGGTCTTATAAGAAGGGGTTGAGGGATTATTCTTGGGATGCATAATAATAAAGATTTTGTTTTTCAAAAAGTCAAAACTAGGGCCTCCCTGGTGGTGCAAGGGGTTAAGTCTAGCACTATGAAGCTATCTGCCACTGCAGCACATTCAATCTCTGGCCAGGGAAGTAACCCACATGGCGCAGCAGACCTCTCCTGCCTCACCCGCTGCTCCCCATAGTAGTGTATTTCAGTAGGCATACAAGAACTGTTCTGCTCTCCACTCTGTCTCTGGTAAATTCTCTCACTACCCCCAACCCCGCTTCTGCACCTCTGTCCTGCACCCCAGCTCAGTATGCATAAATAAATAAATCTTTAAAAAAAACAAGAAGTCAAAACTATACTGCATACATTTTCAAATGATATTATGTGGTTAGTATTCTGAAAACAAAGTTGTATAAAAGATATTCAAAAGATGCAAATACATGGTATGTTCACAAGCAATACAATAGGGTTGATACGAGTATCTAGGAAAAAGAAGAAAAAGACTTTTAAGTTTGTCTAGAAAGTACAAATAGTCAGCAATGTGGGAGAAAATAAAAATTTTTTCATAAAATAAAATAATTTCTAAATAATCTTAAATAAACAAGGGACAGTTTTTCCTCTGTATCCTATATTAATTACTCTTTTGTCTGAAAATTACTTTCTGTTTTGGGTCACCCTTTTAAAGGATGTAGAGAAACTGATGAAAGTTAAAAGAACAGAAAAATAGCTAGAGGACTAATTTAGGTTCTTGAAGAAAGCTACGGGAATTGGCATTATTTCATTTTAAAAGGCTAAGGTGTGACTTGATTAGTATTCAATCATAAGATTTATTTTCAGAGAAGAGATGCTGAGCAGGCGTCCCTTGTGTCTAAATAAAAACAAAAAAATTATTAAAACAGACAGTTTTATGTGACTTTTATAAGAAAGCATCGATTGTCAGGTCAACTAAACACTAGAAATAAAACCAAGAAAGATTTAACATTTTCTATTCCTGGAAAGAAAAATATACTATTTTATAAATAAAAGAATAGGTAATTACCAATCTGGTTAAAATTGTCATTTGACGGTCAGAGACAGGTCAATGAACACTTTTGAGACTGTGAGCCTATGAATTTACCTCAAGATAAGTTTCCTAGCACCTAAGACTGTCTGTATTATTCACTGATAAATTAACTCAAATATTCATTGTGTATTTTCTTCATAACAACACTTGATATTTATGTATGTTTTGAACTTTGAAATGTTCAATGTATGTATTGAAACAAAAGAACACAGTTATCTAATTTACTTTTATTCTTAGGAAATAGAAATACATGTGCTAGAAATACGTTTTGGGATATTATTCAAAGGGATAAAATAAAATGTTGCCCAAACTATGCTTATTTATTCTTGATTATATCATAAAACTTTAAGGTTTTGTATGTATTTTTAAGATTTTATTTATTTATTTATACATACAGGAAATGGGATGTAGGCCAGAGTTGGTGGGGGGGGGGTGTGGTGTGGTGGTGAGAGGATTCACCAAAGACAGAGTAGGGAACAGAACAGGTGGATCTACTGAAATACCACTGAGCAGTGGGTAAAACAGGAGAGGTCTACTGCACCATGTGGGAATCTCCCTGGCTGTGGATCAAACTCATGCCACAGTGGCTGGTGATAGCTTCATAGCACTGAGAGTTTATCCCCTGCGCCACAAAGAAGGCCCGGTTTTAAGTGTATTTTTGGTCTTTGAGAATTAATTTTAATGCCATGTATTTTAAGTTGTCCTCCAGTAACCCAAGTTTGAAACTAAAATATCATTTTAAATGTTTTTTATTAATTATGAAAACTGAATTTTGAAAGTGGGCCTTTTCGATGCATTTAAAAAGAGGTCTATAGTACAGAAACCAAGAAATTTTTAGTAAAAGGGCAATTGGGGGGAGCTGAAACATCCTTTGCATTCAATCTTATGAAACACTGTTTCTGTGTGTGTGTGTGTGTGTGTGTGTGTATGAGATGAAAATTTTTAAAGAGAGAATAAATGGCACTTTTGAAAAATATAACACAGATCTATCAATTAATTTAGATCTAATCATAAGAAATGTGTTTGGGGAGAAAACAAGAATGAAGTGGTTTTGTTATTTAATCATCTGCCAGTGGCTCTGAAAATATTCTCACTCTTCTTTATCTGTCTTTACCTTCATTCATTAAATGGCCTTCACTGCTTGAGAGACTTCAGTCATTTCCACATTTTTTATTGTATCACCCCAACTTTTTTTTAAAGATTTATTTATTTATGCATACAAGAGCTGAGGTACAGGCCAGAGGTGTGTGTGGGGGGGGGTGAGAGGATTCAGCAGAGACAGAGTGGGGAACAGAACAGGCAGATTGACCGAAAGTATACTGCTGAGGGGAGCAGCGGGCGAGTCAGGAGAGGTCTGATGCACCATGTGGGTTGCTCTCTGGCCAGCCAGGGATTGAACTTGTGCTGCAGAGGCTGCGGACAGCTTCATAGGTTGCATCTTAACCCCTTGCGCCACCAGTGAGGACCCCAACTTTTGATAACTTCATACTTGTATAACTGATAGGCTGTAATTGAAGTGCTGATATCTACCTATACAATTAATAGCTTGTAATAGAGTGTTAGTTTGGAATATCCCTTAAACTTTTCTTTGTACTGGAACTAGAGAGAATCATCCATTTGCCGGAGAGTGTGCTCAAAAGTGATAGCCTTGCTTTCGCGGTCATACAGTCACTAATGTATACACATATCTGCATTAGTTGTCCATTTGAAAATCAATTTAATTTTGCATTACTTTGCAGTTTATTCATTCATTTCCTTTTTTTGTAAAACAAAAGTTGTATCATAGGCATTTGTTATCAGAACTATGAACTTAAGGGTAAGGATAATTTTACTCTGCCTAGTAACATATTGTCCTGTCACTGAACAGCACCTGAGGCATGGCAATAGGCAACATTTATTTGTCAGTTGGGTAAACTGACAATGTAATACAATAATAATAAAACTGGCCCTTTGGCTCTTTGAACTTCTACCTAGCATTGTGCTTTTAAAGTAACAGTTTAAAAGTGTTTGGTTGACATTTTCATTCTTTGTGGTTGATCACTGGGGTTGGGGGAGGAACCTATCCTATAAAGCCTGGGGAAAACACCCCACAGAGATAGGTATACAAGGCTACTGGTTACAACATTGTATTCAATAGAAAATATGCGCTAGAACCCAAATGTTCATTAACAGTTAAATATATTGAGGTACTTCTGTATTTTGAAACACTACACAGCCTTTTTTAAAGAAGTATGTTTATGTATACATAAGTGAAAAGAGCTTCAGGATGTTCTGTTGAGAGTTTAAAAAAAATAACAGTGTGTATTATGTAAATACATAAGAAAGTATTCTGAAATGATAGATACCATACTTTTTTTTTTTTTTTAAAGATTTATTTATTTATTTATACAAGCACTGGGTACAGTCAGAAGCGTGGGAGGGTGAGAGAGTTCACCAGAGCCAGAGCAGGGAGCAGAGCAGGCAGAAGGACTGAAGTACACTGCTGAGGGGAGCAGCGGCGGCAGGAGAGGTCTGCGCGCCATGCGGGACCCTCCTCCAGTGGCCGGGGAGCAGCCGGGAATCGAACCGGCGCTGCAAGGCTGCGGGCAGCTTCGCAACCCCGCGCTCAACCGCTGCGCCACCAGGGAGGCCCGATAGATACCATACTTTTAATCTTACTTATTTCTGGGATAGGGAGGTATATTGATGATAAAATGATGTGTTTTAAGGTGCTGCTAAGAGCTTTCATGATTTACTCTAATATATGGGTTATTGTTTTTAATTTTATTGTTTTAATTTTAACGATATTGAAAATGAAACAGTTAAATAAAACTGATTTTTTAAGAAGTATTTTTTACATAGAGAAACTTTCTCCTGATAAATAGGTATTAAAATATGTAAAATATTTAAATTATTCCTCTTTTTTGCCATTCCTCTCTTCATACATCCCAGTCATTATAAAGCTACAAAAATAAAAAAGAGAATAAATAAAGGTATACCTAGAAAGTGTCTCATTAAATTATGTCCCTCTCTTTTTTTAGTGACAAAATAACAATTTTCTATTTCACCCAGCAGAT